CACCGAAATATCCTCACCCGCTGGGTTAAACTGCCAGCGAAATGTCCTCACCCGCTGGCTTGAAACTGCCACCGAAATATCCTCACCCGCTGATATAAAACTGCCACCGAAATATCCTCACCTGCTGGCTTAAAACTGCCACCGCTCGATAACACTCGATAACACATCGATAACACCTCATGCTATCGAGGTGTCATCGAGTGTTATCGAGGTGCTCTCGAGCGTTATCGAGCTCGATCACACTCGATAGCACCTCGATAACATCTCGAACACATCTCGAAAACATATTATCGACGTGTTATCGGGTGTTATCGAAGTGTTATCGAGCGGGTGATGGTCACCCGCTGGCTTAAAACTGCCACCGAAATATCCTCACCCGCTGGCTTAAAACTGTCACCGAAATATCCTCATCCACTGGCTTAAAACTGCCACCGAAATATCCTCACCCGCTGGCAGAAAACTACCGCCGAAATTTCCTCACCCGCTGGCTTAAAACTGCCACCGAAATATCCTCACCCGCTGGCTTAAAACTGCCTCCAGATTATCCTCACCCGCTGGCTTAAAACTGCCAACGAATTATCCTCACCCGCGGAAGTAAAACTGCCACCGAAATATCGTCACCCGCTGGCTTGAGACTGCCACCGAAATATCCTCACCCGCTGGCTTAAAACTGCCGCCGAAATATCCTCACCCGCTGGCTTAGAACTGCCACCGAAATATCCTCACCCGCGGGAGTAAAACTGCGACTGAAATATGCTCATCTGCCGTAAAACTGCCGCCAAAATACCCTCACCCGCGGAAATAAATCTGCCACCGAAATTTCCTCACCCACTGGCTTAAAACTGCCACCGAAATATCCTCACCGGCTGGCTTAAACTGCTACCAGAATATCCTCACCCGCGGAAATAAACTGCCACCGAAATATCCTCACCCGCTGAAGCACCGAAATATCCTCAACTGCTGGCTCAAAACTGCCACCGAAATATCCTCACCCGCTGGCTTAAAACTGCCACCGAAATATCCTCACCCGCTGGCTTAAAACCGCCACCGACATATCCTCATACGCGGGCTTAGAACTGCCACCGAAATACCCTCACCCGCTGGCTTAAAACTGCTACCGACATATCCTCACCCGCGGAAAAAAAACTGCCATCTAACGGCCTGGTGGTTCAGTTCAGTCTGTCTACCTCGCGAAAATCAAATTACGGGCTGCGCCCGTAAATCATGATCAGCAGCATCATCATCAAAATCATCAGTATCACCATCGTCATCGTCATCGTCATCATCATCATCAACATCATCATCATCATCATCATCATCATCATCATCATCATCATTATCATCATCAGCATCAACGTCGTCATCATCAGCATGCCACTCTTTGTCCTCCTCCTTCTCCTCCTCCTCATCCACTTACTCCTCCTCATCCCTCCTGCCTCCTCCCCCTCCCCCACCTCTTCCCCCTCCGCCTCCTCTTCTTTGTTATTGTTCACGATCCCCTCATTCTTCCTCCTCCTCGTCCTCCTCGCCCTCCTCTTTCTCCTCCTCCTCCAAATCCTGCTCCTTTTGCTCCTCCTCCGATTCCTCCTCCATCCTCCCCCTCTTGGGGTACGACGTCTTACCCAACCCCTTATTACACTGCATTCTACTCCACATCCCTGATCACAACAACTCGTCTGGACATCGTTTCTGGACGGGCTGCTGGGGCTACTCTTTTGATCTGCGGCTCCAAGGACGATTCCAGAGAGCGGGTCGTATCGAGCATGAGGCAGCACGCAAGATAATTGCCAGCGGGCCAAAAGCCAACGCCGGAGTGCAATTAGCGAATGCACGCAGCGGCACTCCAGAGAGCGGGACGAATCGAGCATGAGGCAGCACGCAAGAGAATTGCCAGCGGGCCAAAAAGCCGACGCTGGAGTGCACAGGCGCCAGAGAGGACCGCGGGGGGGAAAAATAAAAATTCAGGATGGGCCTGCCGAAAAACATAAGCAAACGGCAAATCCAATTTCTGGCGAAGTCGCGTCCCACGTGCCCCGAACATCTTCGGACCCTCTTCAGGTCCCGATCCAACGCAGCATGGCGCATAGCTGCGTAGTTCTTCGGCTCTGAAGACCAAACAGATATGCACCGTACCAATCCTGGGTCAAGAATCGACGACGCCTTGGGAGACGGAGAAGCGAAGCCGCACTCTGGCGAAGGGTCGCTCTGACGAGCAGCCGACTCCCTCCATGCCCTGGTTTCCGCGGGTCGTGACACGGGTCTCTTACAGCTATTCGAGACGATTCGGGTACCCTCGAAACGCACTTGGCCGGAACGCATCGCGGGACACAACACAGATCTAGGAACCAAGGAATACGTCCGAAAACCTTTCCCTTGGTGAGGCGCCTCTGCTGCAACGCATCCTGGGCCAGGAAAACCTGCAGGAACCAAGGAACGCGCCCGAACTCCTTTCCAGACAACTCCCAAGAACCCCCCCCCCTATCCTGGAAGTCAGAGATGTCCTCGCGCTCTTCTTCTTCTTCTTCTTCTCAGGCGAAGTGGCCCAGGCCGCGCACCCAGCGGCGAAACAAACGTGATTAGAGGAACACCGAACTGCGTAACCATCCACTGCCGGAGCTCCGACAATCTATGTTTTCTCGTCTCCCACTCGTCTTCCGCCTGGATCCTCCAGTCTCACCTGGCGGCCTCCATCAACACGAGCTTCCTCGGCACAATTTGCAGCACGGTGCTGTCGGATGGAGCCGCCCAGACTTCCCACCCCGCAGCAAACATCGACGTGCTGGGAAACGTGCTGAGCGGGCCAGCGGCGCGCCGTTTCCACTGGCCGCCTCTTTGTCCCCGTCCCTGTTCCTGCTGTGGTGGGGCACTGCAGGGGAGCGCGCAGCTCTTCTTGTCTGAACGTGTCAGGATCTTCGGTGGCAGCTCATGGGAACCTCTCCTACACTCTTGCTGACCCTTGCGGCTCGACGCTGATCGACGATGCATCGACGCTAAGTCGGCGCTGGTTCATCGACTACCAGACGCTAGTTGACGCTAGTGTACTGGAAAAGCGGAATGACGAGGAGTTACAAGGCTCCCATGATTTGCTACCGAACCGGACCTGCTACCGCGTTGCTCGATGCTGCAAAGTCACACAAACGTGCGGCCCACCCTTCTGGAGGCCGCCCGGTTGGGACTGGAGCTGACTATCGAGGAATAGAACATTCAAACTGCAACTTTCGGAGCTCCGCGCGGAGTGTCTTGGATCGGTGCCTGGGCTTGGGCGCGAATGCCTGGGGGGCGATAAATAATCAGGGGGGCAGCGAGGGCTGCCGACATGGGGCCCTTGAGGGCCCCTAGAGGGCACATGTCCCCACCCCGTGTATCGCCTCCCTTTAATTCGCGCCCGCTGGGCCCCCCTGGCGCGCTCCGCGTGCCAGGGATGGGGGGGGTCCAGCGCAGATCCAAGACGTCCGCGCGGACCGTCAGCTGGCCACCGCTCGGGCGTCCATTCCCTGTGTTTTTTCCGGTCTCGTGCGCGATTTTTCCCTACCTAGGCTCTGCCTAGAAAGGTTCTTACCCTCTAGCTTAAAGGGGCCGGGCAGTGGATATCGCCCCGGGCGGTTCCCCCAGGATCCGCCCCGCGGTTCCCCCAGTTGCGCCCCCTGGGTTCACCCAGCTTAGCTTAGCTTAGCTAAGCTTAGCTAAGCTTAGCTTATCTCATCTTAGCTTAGCTTAGCTTAGCTCAGCTGTGCCTAGCCTAGCCTAGCCTAGCCTAGCCTAGCTTAGCTTAGCTTTAGCTTTAACTTAGTTTATAGCATATTAGCTGAGCTTAGCTTAGCTTAGCTTGGCTTAGCTGTGCTTCGATTAGCTACGCGCAGCATAGCGCAGCGCAGCATTAGCACATCATAGCATAGCATAGCATAGCATTGTATATTCAACCATCGCATATCATAGCATAGCTCAGCATAACATAGCATAGCATAGCATTGCATACCATGGCGCAGCATATCATAGCATACCATAGCATAACATTGCATAGCATAGCACAGTGCAGCATAACATAGCATAGCATAGCATAGCATAGCGCAGCATGAGCATAGCATAGCATAGCGTAGCGCAGAATGTCGCAGCATAGCATAGCGAAATATAACATAGCATAGCATAGCATAGCATAGCCTAGTCTAGCCTAGCCCAGCATAGCATAGCGCAGCATAGCATAGCATAGCATAGCATAGCATCGCAGAGAAGAGCATAGCATAGCGCAGCACCGCACTGGCCGCTCCTACTAATGTTGCTTTCCTAGAGGCTCCAACTTCTAGGTAGGGTCGCACTGGGATACTTTCACCAAGTGATCAAGGATGCTCCTCGATGGTCCTCGCCGAGAACAAATACACACGTCCGAGCGATGCCAGGTCAAACAGTTATTCTGCTTATGCCGTCTTTCAAGTGGACAGGGCCAGAAGATCGCACCGCATCGCCGATGCATCGGCGACATCGGAAGAGGACAATCGGGCTCGGGATCACGCCGCATCGCCGATGCATCGGGGATGCGGCGCGATCCTCCGACACCATCTGCTCGGACCCCATCTGGGCGGCCTAGAATTGCATCCTCGGGGGACCTTGTCTGTCCCGTCGCGTCCCTATTCGAATACGGTCCGTATCGAATCCATGCCAAATCCACGTCGAATCCGCGTCGCCGGGCACCAAAAGTGGACCGCCACACACAAGACAGACGAGGCCCACCGAAATTGCAACGCAAAGACACCATCCCATGTCCTGGCCTTTTCCCAGGGACGTGCGTTTCAGCCTGAGTCGTTTTTGACGGTCTCGGGATTCAGCAGGACCCCCCAGGAGGTCGAAAAAGGCGAAGAGCCTTACAGCGTCCTTTGCACATCGCGAGCAGAGGGACAAACAAGTGCACACGCAAGCATCAACTTTCAAAGCTCCGGAAATTGCGGTCTATGCTGTGGTGTCTTCCCCGAACGGAGAGGGGATGGGAAGTCATCCCTACGGGCATCCTGCAGGGTAGCGCCAGCACTGGGGTAGGCGGCACGGCCTGTCGGCGACGCGCTGGCGCAGCCGACGGTGCGCATGAGCACCAACTCCTGTAGAGCCGGAACAGAGACCGACATGCGAATGTGCATGGGTATACTTAGTATATGGCTGTATCCTTACCAGGCTCCGATGCTTGCACATATACAGGTATGCATAGACAGATCTAAACACAACAGACTCGAAAGACAGAGAACGAGAGAGAGGAAGGGGAGGTCATATTTTCAATGCAGAGATCGCCCTCGCCATAACCCTGCTCAATTGGCCATAGTCCGTCACGTCCTGCCCTGGTGGCCCTAAGCAGCCACTGCGGTGCGAAGATTCAATGTGGGTGGCCTCGGCCACATGCGCTGGAATCGGCACGTGGATGGAAAACTCGGCCCTCCAATGAGGTCAACCTTCCCTGTTCCGACTGGAGAGGGTGGAATCAGGGGACACCACATCTTACGCAGAAGACCAGGCCTGTGGGAGTTTGAACACCTGGTTGGTCACTAGCACGTTGGCACCCGCCCGCGCCGTGGAGAAAGCTTGGGGCAGCCCTGAATGCGGCTGCGCGGTGCCTGCCTACACGAATTGCTGCATGGACAACACTCGCCATCGAGCCGACGCTCCTATGGCAGCAACTACTCAAAAAATCACTGCACTACAGACTGGTCCCTGATCCCCCTCCCAATCGTAAGATGCTCCGCCACCCCAATCTCTGCCTGATCCACCGCCATCCCACCAGCCCTGTGAGCCAAGGTAGTCTGACGAGTTGTTTCTTTCCTCGTCCAACCGACTCTTCCCATCCCTGAGGTTGTTTGGAAGTTTTCGCGAGGGCGTAGAGAGTCCAAGATGGCCCAAGGTGGCGCCAAGATGGCCTCCGATGCTCCAAGATAGCATAGAAGGCGGCTCAATTTAGTCGAAGATGGTTCAATATAGCTTCGGACAGACCTCCAAGAGACCCGACGAGGGCCATAAGACGGTTCCAAGTGCTCTCGGAGCCCCCTCAAGACCCATCCAAAGAGGCCATCATGCTTCAAAAATACTGGGGACATCAATGTGTGTTGCCCTCTCCCCTTGCCGCTTCCGATGCGCTTTCGAGGCCTCAAGATGGCCACAAAATTGCCCAAAAGAGGCCAAAGAGGGGCCCAGGAGGCCCCCAACACGGCGCCAAGAGCGCCTGAGATTGGCCAGGAGCGCCCCAAGAGGCGATGTTGATGGCCCCAGGGGGGGGGAGGTAAGTCGAGGCCCCCCCTTTCTTTGATCGGTAGTCTCCACAATCGCCCCAAGAGGTGCCAAGGACCCCAAGAGGGCCCCAACAGCCAAGAGGCCCCCACGACCTCCCAATAGAGCCCCAAGAAGACCCCGCGATCTCCCAAAAGAGTCCCAAGATAGCTTCAAGAGGCGAGTTTGAGGGCTCTGTCCTCGTGCTCGTTGACTTCCTCTTCCGCCTCCTCCACCTCGTCATTTTGTCCTCGTCCTTGCCCTCATCGTCTTCCACTTCCTGTTGCTCCTCTTCCTCGTCGTCGTGGTCGTCGTCGTATTGCTCATCCTCCTCTTTCCCTCGCCCACACGCGGGCCTCAGGGATGGCCCGAAGAGGCCCTCCAAGGCCCCCTCCTTGCTCCCAAAATCTCTCTGTTCACCCTGGTTGCCCACTTTGTGTTCACTATATGTGTCTCTTCGGTCCGTTTCCGTCAACTCTCTTTGGCAGGGTTTCTGAATGGGCTGGTGGGCAAACGCAGAGCGTGAAGAATGGTCTGCAGCCAGAGCGACTGACACTCCTTGCTACTCTTACGTTGTAACAGCTGTATCCTAGAAGTTTAGGGGCTGGTATCATTCGAGGGTCCTTGCTAGAAGCTATAACGCGTCAGAACAAGTGGATTAAACCTGACCCACCAGCCACACCTAAAGACCTACCAGGTGTTATGGAAAGCTCGGCCGATCGAAAAATTACTCCGGCCAAGCCCCCCGCCAACCCCGGCCAGCCCGTCTCGGCAACGCAATGCGAGCAAGAAACGAGCGGGCGCACTCGGATTGAGCTCCCCAGTATCAGCGTTGGCAACGGGCGGGTCGGGCCAGGCGGGCTGGAGATTATAGCGATAATTCGTCATGGTGTTGACGAACTGGCCATGGCGGCGCTGACGGTGCCGCGAAAGCGGCTCGTGCCGGGCGGGCGGGACGCTGAACTACGATGCGTAATCGAGCTGGCACGCGCGAGCACGGACGGGCGGGTCGGGCCGGGCGGGCGGGGCATCCTAGCGATGTAATGAATGATGGTGTTGACGGATTGGCCATGGCAACGCTGACGGCGATGATGGCGATGCTGATGAGGATTATGGCTATGATGAGGATTATTGTGATGATGGTGATGATGATGATGTTGATGTTGATGGTGTTGCTGATGATGATAATGCTGATGCTAATGCTGCTGCTGATGCTGATGTTCATGTTGATGCTGATGATGATCATGCTGATGCTGCTGATGATGATGGTGATGATGGAAGTGGTGGTAATGATGATGGTGATGATGGCGATGATGGTGGTGATTGTGGCGACAGTGCCTCTGAGGTGGTCAGACAAATCCGTGAAGACCTCTGGCTAATCTCTCGGGCTCTGTTGAGGCAGGCTCTGAACCCGTTCGAGGCTCCCTCGGCCATCTTGGAAGTAGCCCGAGTAGCCCACGCAGATAGAATGGCCCGAGGCATTCCGACTGACCCGAGCAGCCCGAGTGGCCCGGCGCGCGAGGCATTCGGGCCACTCGGGCTACTTGGGCTTCGTGGGCTACTTGGGCTACTTGATCATTCCGACTGACCACGGCGCGCGAGGCATTCCTACTGACCCGAGTAGCCCAAATAGCCCAAGTAGCTCCGGCGCGAAAGGTATTCCGACTGGCCCGAGTAGCCCAAATAATTAGCCCGCACGGCCCGGCACATGAGGGCGCTTCTTGAGCTACTCGGATCAGAACACTTTTCGGACACGCCTATGGTCAACCCTTCGAAGCCGAAACACTTTGCCCACCCGCACACTCAGAGCAACATGAAACAACTCATGGGTTGAGTACAGCAGATGCTGAGGCTGGGGCAAACGAAGGGGACAGCTCCAGGCTCTGTTGAGCAGTCTGCATGTGTCTGCACCACACAACAGAAACTGTGCTGCGCAATCAAGAGATGCCCCTTGAACCCGTCGGGTTTGAAAGCAATGGGAGGAGCGAGTAGCGTGCGCCAGACAAAAAACAACGCGCCCTAATGTGGCATAGGATGGCCATCGGGATGGCCGAATTGGCTTAAGATGACATCAAATGGTACCAAGAAGGCCCTGATGCCTCCCGAAGAACGACAAACACACACAAGCTCACACCGGCATCCAATGGGATTCGAGAGGCCTCCATAGTGGTTCTGAGCTGGTTCAGCACGGCCTTCGAAGACGCCCGAAAGGAGCCCAAGAGAGGACCCAGGAGAGCCCCAAGAGGGCAATGGCCTCTGAGAGCATCCCAACGTGCTGTTGCCCAAGCCGGCGGCTTCCCTGCAAAGAGGGCGCTGCAAGCCCCTGCATTGACCTCACGCGCACCCGTCCGCCACGTCATCCACTCCCGCCCGCACGAGGCCTCTCGAGGCCTCGGCTGAGACTGGCGGCGCATGTGCGTTTCGTGACGATGTCGGCACAGGCCATCCTGCTGCCGTGAAAGATCCCAAATCAGGAACGGAGGTTGAACATGGACCGACCGTCCCGACATTCCTGTAGGCCTACCACGACATGTTCGTAGAACCCACACATGTTCTGAGAGCAAAAACAATGTTCTTAGAACATACGCCCGATGCGCTCAGGCAAAACAGCCTCAGCCAGAAAAGTTCTCAGAACATTTCGTGCAGACCACAAAAGGTTCTCAGAACTAACTTCGGTGGGCCTATGGGCAAGCCCGGACGCGTCGCCACTGCTCGAGGAGGGGCTTTTGTTGCCTCGGCGAGCCGTGGCCAAGAATGGCGCCCCCCCTGTTCCGATCGAACGCCTGAAAGCCGGAGCCCCCTCCTGACTGGTCCTTCTCTTCAGAAAAGGAGACCTGCATGAACACGAACTTTCGGAGGCCTTCGCGGCGTTCTTGGAACGGCGCGGGGCCCCCCCTCCCTGGCCCCGGCCGTGATATTCCCCCCCTCTGGGCCCCCCACCCACCCCTCTCGGCCGTGCCCGAGCGCGGCATCCTCCTGGCTCTGCCGGTGTCCCCCCGTCCGCGTGCCTCACCGCTGCCGTCGGGCGGCACCTGGCCAGGAGGCTCGCCGGCGGACGGGCATGGTGGGAACGGTGTCGGCGCGGTGGGCTGAGGCGAGCAAGCTGGCGGCAGCGAGCTTGCACCCAGGCACTTGGCAAAGGAGGTCGGGGGTGGAGGAGGAGGAGGAGGAGGAGGAGGAGGAGGAGGAGGAGGAGGAGGAGGAGGAGGAGGAGGAGGAGGAGGAGGAGGAGGAGGGAGGAGGAGGAGGAGGGGGAGGAGGAGGAGGAGGAGGAGGAGGAGGAGGAGGACTTGGAGCGGCGGCGAAAGGAGCCAGAAGATCGGGGGCGGTGGGAGCGCGGCGCGCGCTCCTGCCCTCGCTGCTCCGCGAGGCGGCGCCACCGCGACGCCTGGGTGCGGGTGCGGGCGCTCCCCCATCACTATATGCCCCTTGCCCTCTCCCTCTCTCTCTCCCTCTCTCTCTCTCTCTCCCTCTCTATATATCTCGTTCTCTCTCGTTCTCTCTCGTTCTCTCTGTCTCTCTGTCTCTCTGTCTCTCTGTCTCCCTCTCTCTCTCTCTCTCTCTCCCTCTCTCTCTCTCTCTCCTTCCGCACCATCCGATGGTGTTGGGCCCTCGCTCTGAATCAGCAGCGCCCCGCGTTCTCCGCATCCTTCACTCCTTCTCCCCCCACTCCCCCCCCCCTGCCTCTGCCCTCCGCACTCATTTTGGCACACCTCTCGCAAGTGGCGTGGCCACATGGGGAGCTGCACCGAAGGCCCAATGGCAGGATTCTTATGCGGCTCAGCGCCCATTTCGGCACACCCCTCATACGCTTCTCGGCCGCATAGGGAGCTCCACTGACAATCCTCATGACTGCGGCGACGAGGCGGCGACGGGGCGGCGACGGTGGCCACTTAGCCTTCAGACCGAAGACACGGCCCAGATCGTTAGAACAAAAGTAGACCCCCTAAATGCAAACACTGTTTGTGGAATGCGTATATATATAGATCGTGTATATATATATATATATATATATGCCGGCCCCCATTGCGGGGCCATCAGGCTCCGCGGCTTACGCTTGCTGCTCCCTGCTCCAGTTCAAGCTTCCAGCCTCGGATGTTACAATTCTGTGTTCTGCTTCCGGCTGTGAACTGTTGAAACCCGAGCGAGGGAAAAGGGGAGGGGGAACCGAAAAATCGCCCTGGTTCTCAAAATTTCTGGGGGACCCTGGGACACGTAAAAATATGACAGACCCTCGCCCCCTTAGCCATAATCCCTGATACATTACACCATACTCGCGCCCCCGGGACCATTCACCCCCAGCAGATCATCCGTAGGCGCGCCCACGAGGCCCTAACCCTTGGTAAATTACAATGTGTTCGCACTCCCGAGGCCATACTTCCTCGTAAACTGCACGGTATTCGCGTCTCCGAGACAATACCCTTTTGTCAACTACGCAGTAGCTGCGTCCCCGAGGCCAAAGTATCTCGTAAAATGTTCGTTCGTCGGGCTCCCGAAATCATGAGCCCTTGTAAATTACGCAGTAGTCGCGCTCTCGATGGAGATGATGGTGGTGGTGACGGTGACGATGATGATGATGATGTTGATGATGATGATGATGATGATGATGATGCTGATGCTGATGCTGATGTTGATGCTGATGCTGATGCTGATGATGACGTTGATGCTGATGATGATAATGATGCTGATGATGTTGCTGATGATGATGCTGACAACGATAATGATGATGGTGGTGATGACGATGATAAGGCCCGCCATGCGCTGTTGGGGGCCTCCTCACGGCCCCCGCCAGCCTCGTGGCCAGGGATATATATATATATATATATATATATATATATATATATACATATATATATATATACGTATGCACACGGATAAATACATTATATATATATATGCATTGCGACACATCGGTTGCAACGTGTTCTACTGCGCAACCGAGGTTGTACAACATAGACTGCACATACCATGTAACACAACATATATTGCACCGCATATACTGTTACACATCGATCGCACAACAGATATTGCTAGACGCACACGGTTTTGGGTCCACGCTGGCAAGCATGGGTATGCGTAATTATATATATATGTATGTATGAAGATGCATCTACGGTGAAACATCCAAAGGTTTGATGTAGACCATGTTAGCTCGCGCGCGTGCCATTCGCATCACGAGCCAAGCCAAATAGATCGCGGAGCAGATCTGCAACCACAATCAAGAGTGGCGAAACGAAACGGCCGATGCTGCACTATGTAGCGCTGTGCCGCCCAGGCCGAATCAGCGACCCAAAAATACTGTCGCAGCACAGCACCAGCTGGGACACAAAATGCACGCGCCGTCTGGGCAACGTCAACACACACGAGGGAGGAAGGGAAAGCGCAAGGAAAAGGAACAGGAGAGGGGCAGATGAAAGAAAACGCGATGCCACGGCGGATGTATTGGCGGAGGTGGGGAAGAGGGAGAGGAGGAGAGAAATGGAGACTGGGAGAGAACGGAATTGAGAGAGGGGTTCGCCGGCAACTGTGAAAGAAGATCCCTGTCCTGGGGCCGGTTTTGCGAAGATGTCCCCAGCGAGAGCGCCGGATTTGGTCAAGTTCGCCAGCAACGATGCAAGAAACACTCTTGGACCCTACCTGGGGCCGATTTCTTAAAGGTGTCCCCGGCGAGAAGGCTGGCCCAGGAATCTGCGCCAGATTCTGTCGAGCTCGCCGGAAACAGTGCGGGAAACACTCTTGGCTCCGCTCCTGGGGCCGAGCGAGGGCGCCGGTCTGGGGTTGATTCTGCGCCGTGTTTTGTCAGATTCGCCAGAGTCGGTGCAGGACGCACTCTTGGCCCACGGGGCTAGTTTTGCGAGGATGTCCCGAGGGAGGACGTCAGTTTGGGATTCTGTGATGGATTTGTCTAGATTCGCCAGAAATTGAGCACGAAGCCTAGTTGTTGGCCTCACTTCCTCGCACGCTGAGGATCAGGATGACGTGAGCTCAACAGAAGCACCCTCAAAGTATGATTCTCTCTCCCTCCACCCCTCCCCCCCTTTCTCTCGGCACCATTCCAACTTCGGGACAAGTGTCCACTGGGGTCAGGCGTCTCGGCCGACCGACCACCACGCACCACGGAGGAGGTGCGCCCATCCAGCTGACCTTTCGCAGTGCCCAGGTGGAAGGCGACAGTCCACCTGCGCACTGAGAAGTGTGCGTGCCGCCAGCTCTCTCCTGGCACGTCGGGCTCCAGTGCCCAGGGAATCTTCTCTCTCTCTCTCTCTGATTCTACCCCCCCTGCCCCTCGCCCCCTCGCCCGCCCTTCACGCAGGCCCCTCCCTCCCGCCTTACCCTCGCCGCCCCCACTTCACGCCCACCGTCTTGCTTTCGCCACGTCCTTCCGTCCTTCCACCGTCCTCCATCTCCGCCGCGTAGAAGGCATTAGCCGTCTGGGAGGGGACAGGAGGTCTAGTCCAGACATCGGTGGCCCTCACGAACCGGGAGAGAGGAGGAGGAGGTAGGAGGAAGGAGGAAGAGGAACGGCCCGCGCCAAATGCGTCTTGGAGCCTCCCAGCGTAACCTCGACGACGACGATGCCGACGCCGATGTCAACGACGACTACGAAGACGGAAGCGGCGACGCCGCCGGCGGCAAAGACGATCCCAGAGATTTGACGATGGTCGGGAGCGGCAAAGAGGGGGGCGTCAAAGAGGGGGGGGTGCAAATCATGACCGGCGGCATGTGCGCGGCCCGACGGGGGGGCCAGGGACGTAATGAAATAAGAAGAGGCGCCATGAGATCTGGGGAAATATCATGGCCCCCGCCATGATCTCCACCCCCCCCTAGTCATCACCCCCCTCTTTTCCGCCCCCGAGATGGGTTTTTTAACTCGCTGCCCACGAGGTCCTGACCTCGTCCCAGCGGGCAAGTCTCCACCAAAAAGCCAGCTGCTGATGGCCTCGGGGGCCCGAGAACGGCCGCCACAGGTGCCGAACTGGACAAACATTCCGAGATCGAGACTAGAAGAATGAAGGGGCCCCAGGACACACAAATAAATACACACAAATAACATGATTCCCCATATTTTCCCATATTTTCTGGGTTTTTGTCTTCCCCACCACTTCCCATAATTTCCCATATTTTCTGGGGAATTGACGATGAATTGTGTCTGTGTGTTTCTTTTCCTCCTGAAAGAAGACGAAGACGAAGACGAAGACGAAGGAAACTGAACAGATAGACGCTCAGACAACGGAAGACGCATAACCTGTCGGAGGTCTGCGCGGATCTCTTGGATGGGCGCCAGATCCCCGCCAGGAAGCACCTGAGCACTTGCGGAGCACAGCGTGCAGGGAAAAAGAGCAAAGGTGGGAGGAGGGTGAAGCGTCAGCCAGCCGATGGATACAAATCACGGCTGGCCGACGCGTGAGCTGTAACCACCGCAGCTTCGCGCTCCCAGCCAGCAGCTAGGGCCGTATGGCCGTCTTGGGTGTCCCTGCGTAGCCGGGAAACTTGCCTTGCGCGATGCGGGCCAACATTTCGCGACTCTTCCCAGAAAAGTCAGAGCAATCAGCGGTAAGCTGGCGCCCGTCAACATAGGCTGCTCGTCAGCCATGGTGGCAGAACTACATTCTGAAACGGTCCCAGAATCCAAAGCGGTGGGAATCACACAGGGTAAGGCCAGACAACCACGGGCCCAGGGACCGAAACCAAGAACATATTTGGGCCACCTTCTGGGCCGCGTCGGACAAAGAATCCATCGCACAGAACTCCAGAAGTTTGCCCCAGAACGTTTGTCACACTTGGAGCATCAGTAACGTTTGTCACACTTGGAAATGCAGTGGGCACTAGCCCTAGCAGCCCTGTCCCGCCTAGTGCCAAGACAGGCCCTCCCAGGGGCCAACAAATGATCTTCTTTGGCTTTGATGGGGTCCGCTGCAGCCGCGTCCGCAAGTGCCAACCGAGCTCTCCTCCTAACAAGGGCTAGGTGACGTCCCACTGGTCCGTCGCGGGCACATCACCGTCGAGACCAGCCGTCCAATTACGCTCGGAAGCCTCACCAACTGCGACGTCGACCACCGCATTGCCCACAGCTAAGAGACCCGCGTGCGGACTGGAAACCAGGATCTTCTAGAAGGCGCCGCCAGGGGGATTCAGCGCAGATCCAAAAGATCCGCGCGTACGTCTAAAAGTGTACCCGTCGGTCGGAATCTGTAGGTGGAAACATGAAGTAGGTAGGCGCATAAAGCAAACAGGGTTTAGGCACTCCCAGAGAAAAACAGCACACGGCAAAAACACATCGGCTCTTGGAGCAGGAAGTCGCTTGAAGTAGATCGGGATCAGGGAGTCCAGAAAGACCTACTTCCAACGACCAACGTGTATTCACGTACTCTTTGTCCCTCAATAATTGTGGGGGTACCGGTACCTGTAGTCCGGGGAGGGTACCTGTAGTCCGGGGGAGGGATACCTGTAGTTCAGGGGAGGGTACCAGTAGTCTGGGGTGGGGTACCTGTATCACGCGTCAACGCATGCGTGTATGTAGTCCTGTGGGGGTGCCCGTAGTCCGGGGGGGGGTGGACCCGTAGTCCGGCTGGGGGGGGTACCTGGAGTCAGGGGGGGGGTACCTGTAGTCTGCAGGGGAGGGGTACCTGTACTTCCGGGAGGGGGCACCTGTAGTCCGGGGGGTACCCGTAGTCGGGGGACCCAGAACCATCCAGGGACACCGTATGCACGTGCAGGTCTTCCGCGTTCGAGAAGCATGCTGCCGTCGGCGGCAACGCCGGCGGCGGCGGCAAGGCTGAGGCGGCGCGCCGCCTCCACGTGCGCGGCCGCCTCCGCGGCCGCGGCGCGCAGCGCCTCGCGCCGCGAGCGGTCGTCGGCGGCGCCGGGGCCCTCCTGACGCGCGTGCGCGGCGGCTCCCTCGAGGGCCAGGATGTTCCTACCTACTTGTGAGCCTGGGCCACCAGGAATAATTTCGAGCACCCAAGCAGAGCCGAAGCTCGAGGGCTTTCACGTGTCGGGCCCAGGGAGACACTCGTTCGACACGGTTTCGACACTGGTTCGACACTGTTTCGACACTTTTCCGGGCGCTCGAAATCATTTCTGGGATGTGGTCCTTAAGTACGGTGGGAGCAGCAGAACTCGAGGACCAGGGCCGTCGCCGAGGCTTTCGGGCGTTCTCGGAGGCCCCTCGAGGTTCTCCAGCCTTGGAATGCCCCCCACCAGCTGCGCCTCGCCGACGGCGTGCCGAGAATGCCAAGATCGTCCCGCACGGCCGCCGACGAAGCATGACTCGAAAACCATACTTCCCTGCGTCGCCCCGCACCGGGACCCACGACAGCCAAACCAGGACCCAGGACGAAGAGCTGGGAGGAGGAGGAGGAGGAGGAGGAGGAGGCGGGCGAGGAGGAGGAGGAGGAGGAGGAGGAGGAGGAGGAAGAGCTGGTCCCCAGGGAAGGGTCCAGACCTCGGGGGCTCGACGCTGCGAGGTAATATCGCGACGTCGGAGGTCTGGCCAGGACGGGGACCAGGCCCGCGGCCTGGCTGCGAGGAGGCAGGCCCGGGGCCAGAGGACTGGCAGGGAGAGAGAGAGAGGGCGTCCGCGCTGCGCACGGACTGCTCTGCCCATGCAAGCCCCAAGTTTAGGAGGCAACTGCTGGGAGGTTTTCGTCGGAAAGATTAAGGAGGATTAAGCCCCATTTGGGAGCTGTTACGCCGGAGTGGGCCTCGGATTAAGCGGGATTAAGCTGGATTAAACGGGATTAAGCGGGATTTAGCTGGATTAAACCGAATTTCGGACCAGGGCGAAAACAGAATTTGACCTCCCAGGAGTTGCATCTGAACCAAGTCAGGGGGGATGCACGGGCCGCACGAGGGGGGCCAAGCAAGCAGCGCATCGCCGTGGAAGGAGTGCAGCGGGAGGGTGACGTCGGACAGCCGCACGGGGTACCCGAGCAGATCGACACGGTGCCCAACATCAAACGTTGTCCAAAACAGACAGACAGCGGCGGCTGTTCGGCAGGCGATCTGTCTCTCAAATGGACAGCGACCGCGGCGACGCCGACAGCGCATCCTATGCAGAATCGGTGCACCCATTATTTCAGTACACATTTCGCCCCCGCCGAGAGACTAGGAGCAGAGCGAAACAGACATCGTATAAATGAACTCGTGGAAGAATAGCGTATCCGTATCCGCGACCTCGCGGGCCACGGCCACTGGGCCACGACCCCGCAAATACAGGGCGTTTTTGTTCGCGGACGCCCCGCGCGGAACGTATCCGTGCGACCGTGCACTCGCGGGATGGAGTCCTGGAAACCAGACCGCGAGGGCGCGGATACAGATACGTTCGCCAATCGTGGTGCATGGCAGATCTCGTTGTGCGCAGTGGTCCAATGGCAAAGCTGGGTGGGAGTAGCACGCATCAGGAGAAGGGAATTGGAGAGGGCGGGCGAGATGCATACGGACCGAGGTAAAACCTAGCTGAATCGGGCTGCGTCGGCACGGAATCGAAGTCGAATCGTATCGGCTGCGCCACGATGCACGACAACGCCATGCGAGCATCGGGCCGCATGGGATCGTCGGAACATCGGAATCGAATCGGATCGAGCCGGCCAGAATCAGTAACGAATCGGACCGATCGGATGAAAATGGGCCATGGTGGGCCGCAAATGGTTGGTCCCAGCCCAATCCGAGCCGGCCATGCCACCTGAGAGGGACGCTGGACTCCTGCGCTGGGGGCCGTTCCATCTCGGGTGAAACACTGAGCCCCTGCAGTGAGCTCGCACAAAGGCCTCACAAACGGGGTCCGAGTAGATAACCGGGGGATGGCGCCGCATCGCCCATCGCCGACGCATCGGCGAGGCATCGGCGACGTCGAGGTGGAGAAAACTGGGCTCCAAATCGAGCCGCGAGCATCGGCGACGTGGACCAATCCTCTGTTCTCACGCTCTCGGACACCGTGTGGGAGCTCTGGAGGCCCTAACGCTCGACTCGGGGCTGAGCAGCGCGTCCGCCGGGCTGAGCAAGCACCCCGCCGCCATCCGCGCGCAACACGGGCTCTGCTCGCACTCGTAGGTGTCGGGTGCCGTCCCGAAAGGGAAGAGGAAGAATACGAATCATAATAATAATAATAATAACAATAATAATAATAATACTAATAATACTAATAATAATAATTATAATAATAATAATAATAATAATAATCATAATAATAGCAATAATGCAAATTAGAATAATAAGAATAGGAAAACCAAGAACAAGTCTTTTCTGGGCTGGGCAGTCCACAACCTACTCGGGCCCCATGCGGGAGCCCTGCATCGAACCGAGCCCAGATCTCAAAGCAGCACGTTCCCCGGGCCTGCCTCGCCCGTGTGCTCGAGTCATGCCCGAGCGCGCGGAGAAGGAATGCGGAGCAGGAGGCTTGCAGGCCCCGGAGCCCAGCCCAGCCGCTTGCCCAACTTCGCCGAGCATCGAGGCCCCGCCGACCCCCCCAGACCCCAGACCTCCTCACGTCGTGCTGAAAGCCAGCGACCGAAGGGGCTTCGCCGTTTCTGCCGGCCTCTCACCGGGCCCCATCATCCTGACCACTTTCCCGAGCTGCGCCCAGCCGTGGCGACGCGAGACCTCCAAGATTATGTTGCTCCCATCGTACTCAAAGTCCACATCCCAGCACAAATTTCGAGCACCCGGAAAAGTGTCGAAATAGTGTCGGAGCAGTGTCGAAACAGTGCCCGACGAGTGTCTCCCAGGGCCCCGCACGTGAAAGCCCTCGAGCTTCGGTACTTGTGTGGTGCTCGAGCTCTTTCTGATAGTCAAGGCTAAAGTAATTAGGCTGGAACATCATAACCCCAGGAGCGCCTAATAAAAGCCTCCGCCGCCGCACGGCCGCCGCACCCTCGGCCGCGGGCCACGGCGCCGTCGCGCCGCCCCCGTTGCCGCGGCAGCGTCCGCGCAGACGGCCCACGTGGACGCGGCGCGCCGCCCCCGCCGCCGCCGCCGACGCGTCGCCGCGCAGCGCCCGGACCCAACCAGCCTCGAACTGATCCCTATCCGTAAGACGGGCACGCCGAAAGCGATGGCAACCTTAGTGAAGGGGCCCCAGGACACATAAATAAATATACACAAATAAAAAGATTCCCCATATTTTCCCATATTTTCTGGGTTTCTGTCTTCCCGCCCACTTCCCATATTTTCCCATATTTTCTGGGGAATCGAGGATTAATTGTGTCTGTGTGTTTCTTTTCCTCCTGACTTAGGGATAGGCCCTCAGAAACCGAGGGAATCCTCAAGATCGGTATCGAAGCAAGGTGGCGCCAAACGTAGGGCCAGGGAGATGCTTCAAACAAGGAAGACCCGGCCCGCCATCCTCGGCGGCGGGCGCCGGCGCGGGCGGCGCCGGCGCCGGCGCGGCGGCCTCGGGCTCCTGCGGGCACAGCGGCCGACGCCGCCGCCGTCGTCCGCCTCGTCGGCGCAGGTGGCCCGCCGGTCGCCCCTCGTCACCGTCGCCGTCGCCGCTTGCAGCCGCGATTGTCGCCGCCGAGGCGTCTGGGCACCCTCAGGCCCTCCGCGGTGCGGCCGCAGGGGGCCTCGGGAAGGGCACGGAGGACACGAGGCGGCGGCGAGGGCGCGCAGAAGCGCCTCGAGGGCGACTGCACCCCGCGGTGCCGTGGCGGGCGCGCCGCCAGTGGAGGGGGAGGAAACGCCTGTGCGTCTGTTGACTACGTACCAGACCACCCCAACCCAACCCGAAGACCCGAATTTCGGGTTGGGGGGGGTAAGGGTTCCACACGTGTTTTTGCGATGTTTCCCGACACCCCCCCCACTGGAAATCGAGGGTAAATCTGAGCCTTCGGGTTGGGTTGGGGTGGTTTGGTGGGTGGTGATCTGTGGGCCGTGCCCGGCCAGCCATCCGCTGCAGGTGTCTGGCGCGGGTTGGTCCTCTGCTCGTGTGCGTTGCCAGAGGTGCCCTTCGAGCCGAAGCGCGCCTTCGGGCCTTCCTGGGGAGGCCCGCCCGGATGCTGGAGGCCTCCCCAGTGGGGTCCGAACACGTGGTGTCGGAGGATCGCGCCGCCTCGCCAATGCCTCGTTTCCATCTGCCCATCTGTCCCCGGGGTGGCCACATAAAGCCCTCAGGAAAAGCAATTGCAAATGGTAAGACATCGGGCCCGCCAAAAGGTCTGATCCGGCCTGGATAGGCTCGGGCCTGACGAGGCGCATCAATCACACATCTCTGACGTCGCAGCCCGCTCGCGACTTGTGCCCTACAGCTCTTGACTGCATCTCCGAAGCGGTCTGACGCCGCCGGCGGATGTCTGACAGCCCCGTGGCCCAGAACTGGTCCCCAGAGGCTGGAATCGCAGAGCGGCTGTGGTTGTTTTTTTTTTCCAAACGCCTGGCACTCCGGGATGCAGCAGCGGTCAGCACCGAACCGATTTGAACGTGCCTCGAATCGGACCGCATCGGCACGGATTCGAAGTCGAATCGGATCGGCCGCTCCAGGATGCACATCAGCGTCATGCAAGCATCGAGACGCATCCCCAGTCATCCGACGCATTGATGTTTCCAATGCGGTGTCCACCGAAGTCCAGGCCCTTCCCTTGAGGCCGAACTCTTCATCCTGAGCGGTTGTTTGACGGTCCTGAGGCCTGCCGAGGGCTCCCAGAAGCCCTCCGAGATGATTTGTTCACGACGCGACCATGCCTAGAATCGGAGCGTCGCAGCGTCGGAATCGAATCAAATCGGGCTGACCAACATCGCTATCGAACCGGCTCGATCGGACCGAAGTGTACCCTGGGAGGCAGGCGTGGGGTGATGCGGCGGCCTCCAGCGAGCTGGAAGCCACCATCGGGGCAGCCAGTTCCGGAGGCACGGCGACCTCTCGGGTGCGCGGGAAGAGGAGTTCATGGGGCAGGCTGCAACGCTGCCCGCAAGAATCCGGAGGAGTGTCCACGCGAGGCGACCAAGCGGGGTGGGCCCGAGCACCCAAAAGCAAACATAACAGATGCGGCTAGCCAGGCACTCTCAGGATGCAGAAAGCACTACCCTCAACTTCATTCCACACTGGTGTTCTGGACAAGTCGATCCAAGTAACATATTCACTGGTAAAGCCCAGAAGCTGCCGCACGTGTCTACGTACATCATCAACCAAAACTGTGTTCTTGGGCCTCGCTTGCCTGGCGATCTGTTTGCCGAGGATCCAACTGCGGGGCGATCCGCCGTCCGGGGGACCGAGGCCATGGGCCTCAACGGGCGGTGGGGATATGGAGATATGTTTTGGCCCAAGGCATCCATATCTGCCGTCCGCCGAGATCTCAGAAGATTGATCCCACAGGCGGCAGCTATGGATACAGTCAAAAACCCTAATAAGGACGCGCGGTAAGGACGCAAGACCCTTGGAAGCCGAAGTTGGAATTTTTGGGGCGGCGGCTGACGAAAACCTCAAGGACGCAAGAGCAAGGAAGAGCAAGGACGCAAGGGTACCCTGAGCAAAGTCGCGCGTCCTTATTCGGGTTTTTGACTGTAGCGCATCATGGTCCGGGGTGTGTGCACACACGAAGGCGGGCGAGGGAACGGACTCGCCCGTATGGGGAGACCTACCAATCGAAGGATTGACCCAGCCAAACCTCTGGCCAGTCCTTTTGCTCGCCATGCAGCCTACCCTCCCGGCCAACCCCAATTCTTACCACAAGGTATCGCAGATTGAAAAAGGAGGGGGGCAGGAAATCTGAAGATCTCCTGTCCCCCGCCACGACATCCACACCGAACTAGTCCTCACCCCCGTCTTCGACGCCGATTTTCGGGTCATAGTTCGGGCCTCCAGCGAGACGGTTCTCGCACCCCCCTAACAGCTCTCGTCGGGGCGAAGCTGCCGAAAAACATCTCGAAACTGGAGGATCCTGAGGACCCACCAGAACCTCTTCCCAATATGAGACCACGGAAGAATGGCACCACCACCACAACCACCACCTGTGCGAGAAGCCAACGGGGGCACCTCGTGGCCTCGCACATGTGCAATCGGTTAGACCCCAATGGAGTTAGACACCGCACACGAATCCCCCAAAGCAATACTGACGGTGTGGCTATGAAGGGAGATCGTGTGGACAACAAATTTCCAAATCCCCAATACATCGCCCACATTAAACTCAACATTGCTTCTGGGGGCCGAGGATGATGAACATCCCCCTCAAGCGTGCGAGCGTTCGACCAGTTTGTCCATGTACTGTCAATGGCTGAGTTGTGTTTTCTTCTTCTGCTGCATGTTCACAATGCCCTAGGATGTGCAATGCTTCGCGTCCACCCGGTGAACCATCCAGAAATACTCCCCAAGCCAAGTGCTGATCAAGGAACAATCGCCACTTGCAGCCCAGGACTGCACCGCGCATGTTTTCACTAATTTTTTCCAGGGGGAGGAGGGACGAAGAGGAGGAAGAGGAGGAGACTAGAAATGAGGATGTAGAAGTAAACGATTAATGAGGCGAGCGTGCTTGCATCAGCGTACACAGAAAGCGTGTATAAGGCGAGAATAGAGCGGGCACGGGAGGATAGCCTCCCGGAACCACAGCACACATGACAGTAGCAAAGGGAGACCATTACAACAAGCAAAAGTGAGAACGGGCAGGTGAGCTACCGATCGAGGCTGTTGTTCAAGCTGGTCCGTCGTGCATTCGGTAAAACAATGCAGATGAAGGCTCTGCGGGCCGCCCCTTCATGAAAACTTGCCTGGCCGCAAGCGGATTCGTTCAACCTGAATTCGGCACATCCTTAGTTCGGCGGCCTCCACACCGCTCCTGAGGTACATCGACCGCCCACAGAGCCAACCGCAAAAACGTTTCACGGCACTGGTGGCAGGAATGGAAGCACTCCCGCCAAAGCCCGCGGTAGTTGCCGAAACAAGCTAATCGATACCCCACCCGAAAAATGCGAGACCATTAAGGAGCACTGCCAAGCAACCGTGAGCTGTCCGGACACAGCCCGAGCCAGGCCGCTCACTTGAGTGCCCTACTCATCGATCTCGCCCGCTGGTGTCGTACATCCGCTTTCCGATCCTGCGTGACCTCGTGACGCAGTCACGAGAGTAATCTCCTTTCCTTTGCGTGAGTGAACTATGCTGTGAGCTTGGACGGCCTTCTTCAGCTTCTCGTCGCTGAATCCTACCGTGCCGTGATCATAGCTGATATGGCCGTCCATCACGCTGAGGTGTAAGCTCTCAGCCATTGCTGCCTTTGGTGATGGGGTCGGCCACCATGTCCCGAGTGTCGCACCACTGCAAGGCGTAGACATGTTTGGTGCGCGCCTGGTCGGCTACCACCACAGGTGTCCAGCCATGCTGTTCTCGGACGGCGGCCGGACCGGGTCCATGAGCAAGGCGCTGGAAACGGGCCTCCTGGGGGACCCTTTGCGCCACCGAGGGATTCGCTTCGAAATTCTGGCCAGAACGCTCCCCAGGAGAGGTCCGTGAAGTAGCGGTATCGGTGCCTTTTGGCTTCGGGCATCTTGGACACCCCCCAAGCCTCTGCAGGCGCGGCGGCCGCCCCCTGCGCCGAAGCGGGCTCCGGCGCCGCGGCGGGCTCTGCGGCAGCGGTTGCCGGAGAAGGCGCAGCATCCTGCTCAGCGGGGGGGGGGGGGAAACTGACGCGACACGGTTAAAAACCCGACCGGACAGGGACGACGACGACAGAGACGAAGACGAAGACGAAGACGAAGACGAAGACGAAGACGAAAACGACGACGACGACGACGACGACGGACCTGGTACATCTTGCGGGGTGGGCTGTCTGTGCCCTGTCGGCGATCAATGGGCGATTGGGGATCGATACATCCCCCCTGAGTCTATCCCCCCCCAACGTTGCCCCTGATGAACGCAGCTCGATGAACCAAGCTTGAACTCCATCAACTTGTCTCTCACAACGTGCGGCCAAGAAGGCGTGAAATAGGAGAGGGAGAAGGAGGAGGACGACGACGATGACGAGTGAGAGCAGGCAGCATGGTGTTCCAACAGCAAGCGTGGCGGGGGGGGCTCCCGACGCGCAGAAAGAAGTCTAGAAAGCTAGAAGGGGGATGGGAGCGCCCCCCCTCCCACCCCCCACCCCCCGCGTCGCGCTCGCTGGATATTGCTCTATCCAGTGTGTTGAAGTAAGCTCCTGGCGACAGGATCGAAACGGCTCGCACGCAGCAGATGTCGCACTTCCGCCGTGCCGTGTCCCGATCCCCTCCTCCGCCCGCCCCGAATGAGCATCGTTTCACCGATCCCCATTTTCGCTGGCAGGGCCTTGGCCCCACAGGCCGACTTACCCCCGAGATGGGGATGTAGATTGCTCACTTCGGGTTTCGAAAGGCCTCACCCCATCGCAGTGGGTGCCATGGTGGTGCTGATCTACCGCCATGGCCAGGTGGGGATGGGAATGGGTCAAACGATACTGCCCGAAAGACTCGTCCAGTCTGAGGTCGGGCATGTCCCCCTACAGGCGGCTTTTGGGCGCAAAATTTGAAGCAGCCAGAAAAAATCAAACAATACCCATACATGGTCAACAAAAAATCGCCCCCGTACTGTGTTATGACTATCTTTGAACATTCCCCCTGTAGAGGGACACGCCAACTCGGGGCCTGGACCCCATCCCGGGGTCTGTCCCCTGAGCACCGCGTCGAGGCGGCTGCGGCCGTGGCGATGAGAGGCCCAAAAATGAGAACGAGACGCGCCCGAGAGGGCCGCCGTTATCTCGACTGGGCCTCCGAGAACTGGAATTACAGTCGGGAGTGTCCCCCATACAGGCGGATTTCGGACGAACACTTAGACATAGTCAGAAAATACACCCAAAATGCTCGAACATACTTGGAAAATTCGCCCCCTGACGATGTTTTCCCTTTTTTGAATATTCCTCCTGTAGAGGGACAGGCCCGACTTAAAACTGGAACCTCTGACATCCGACGAGCTGATTTGTCAATTCGCGGCCCCAAGCTCCCCGACCGCTTCCCGGGTATTTTTCGTCCTGGATGCGTCTTCGATGGTCCTGGGGTCCAAGCACGCCCCCCACCCCAAGGGCCGAAGTCTGTGGAAAAACGCGGCTTGAACAAACACACATCGTCGCAATTCTTGGAACTGCCCATCTGGCCTTTTCCCGAAACACTGACCCCAACAAAAACAGCCATCTATTTGGGGTCCATGGTTTTACTGCCGCCAGCTTCCGCTGGCTTCCGCCCGCGGAGGCGGCCTCCTTTTACTTCCGCCGCCTTCCGTTGGTCGTCCGCCACCTTCCGCCGAGGAAGAGATGCCGACTCCTTCGATCCTCCTTAAGGCGAGGCCCTTTCTGGAGCGCGCCGTGTCTGGGGAGACCAAGAAGCACCGATGCCGCTACTCCCCAAACCTCTCCCGGGGAGAGTTCTGACCAGGATTTCGAGGCGAGTCCAGCGGTGGCGACGAGGGCCTCCCAGGAGGCCGAGAAGGGGAAAGCGAGGGAAGGGTAGCGGCCTGGCTTCTCCTCCCCTGAGACTTCCTGGAGCGCGCCCGTGTGGGATAGGCCCGGGGTCCCCGGGCGCGCGCGCCTGCGCGGAGGCGGCGGGCGGGCACTCCGCGCCAGCTGCCGGCGCAGGGGCGCCGCGCATGGCCGCCAGGTCCTGCGGGGGGGATGGCGCTTTCCCCGCGGCCCGACGCCGCCGCTCGCCCGCCGCCGCCCTCCTCCGCCTCGCGCGCTCCGGCCGCGGCCGCTCCCTCCCCGCCCTCGACCGCCCACCTCGGCCGCCCGCCCCCCTCGGCCCGGCCGCCCCCCCCCCCCGCTCGAGTGTCCGCCTCCCGGGCGCTGCACTTGTTGTTCTCCGCCCGGTCGCGGGCCCCGGGCACCCGCACAGATCGATCTGGCTCGAGAGGTGGCTCGGAGCGATGGAAGTCCAGGGCCCTGGCCGTGATTTTGTGCGGTGCCGCACCCTCACAGATCGATCTGGCTCGAGAAGAGACTCGGAACGGTGGAAGTCCAGGGCTCCGGCCGTGATTTTTTGCGCGGTGCCGCACCTCGGCTCTCGGTGTCCTCCATTCCCCGCGCTGCTCCCAAGAGGGCCCCCCCCAGAGGCCTCCAAGACTCCTGGGGTCCTCGTCGAGAGCTCCCAAGAGGCCCCCAAGAGGGGAACCTCAGACTGGCATTTACGAAGCCCTCCACCCTGACAGTGGCCCCCGAGACAGCCAGCGGGCACCCCAAACCCCCAGGACGGCCCCAAGAGGCCCACAAGAGGCCCCCAACAGAGAGGCTTCCAAGAGGCCCTACGAAACACAGAAGAGGCCCTTGCCCTCTTGTCCACGACCCAGCCATAATGGCGGAATGGGCCGAAGGCCATTCACTGTTATTGGAATTCAAGCATGGTGCCGTCTTGGGATCAAACAACTGTGACACCCTCCAGAACGCCCAGCAATAGGAGGGCGAAATTCTTGGACATGGGCGGCGAATGTGTCAGGCTTACGTGTCGGCGCGATCGGAAACGCAACGCCGCCCATCCTGTCCCTCAACTGCTCTCCTCCCTGGCCTTTCGGATCTTCTCTTCGGTGCTCCAGAGCACCAGCAAGGGCCTTTCACGCTGAGTCAGTGTGCCACGCGCCGCATGAGATGTGCGATCTTACACTTCCCTGTGGCAAAAACCATGTAACCCATTCTGCCGCCCAGAAGCCCCCAGAGCCCTCGGGGGAATTCAAAAACGCAGCAAACAGTCCAAGCATGCTCGAGAAGATCGATCCTCTACCGCCGACAACGATGAAAAACGCATTACTTTTCAAGTCGTTGCAAACACCTCTGAAGATTCTTCGCTTCGCTGCGCTTGCAACCCTCGAATGAGGACACCACAGACCGGGACGGCTCCGTTCGCCGCGAAGTCCTGGTCGGAACGCGGTGCAGCACAGGCCCGGAAATCAATTTCGAGGAGGAGGAAGAGGAGGAGGCCGAGGTAGGCTCGAGCTGGATCGAACCGCGAAACATCGCCTGGATTGTTAAGGAATCGTGTTCGAATCGGATCGTTCAGGATTTGTTCGGCCTCGGCCCCCTCAGGCCAAAGAAGAAATCGGATTGCGCTGGAACGGCTAAGGTCGGTATCAGAATCGAGCACTGTGGATCGAACCGGACAGTGAACAGCCTTGCGCAGGGGGAGCCGGAGCAGGAGGGGCCCAGTCCTCGGCGTACGCCTCCGAGAGCGCCTGCCAGTAGGCCGCGTCGCCCACCACCTGCCCACAAGCACAAAACACTGCACCCCCCCAAATCGGGGGCGGCCAAGAGGGGGGCGTCCAAGAGGGGAGGGCGCAAATCATGGCCGGCGGCATGTGCGCGGCCTGGGGGGGGGAGCGGGGACTGAAACAAGAAGAGGCGCCATGAAATCTGGGGAGATCTCATGCCCCCCGTCATGATACCCCCCCCCCCGCGCCTAGCCATCACCCTCCTCTTGGCCGCCCCCGACCAAACACCAAGTGTAGGGGAACAACAAGTGACATAAACATAAAAACTCGGAGGTCCGCGCGGATTTCTCGGATCGGCGCTGGGGCCCCCCGGCGGCGCCTCCGGCGCCGCCCCTGGCGCGCTCCGCGCGCCAGGGAGGGGGGTCCAGCGCCGATCCGAGAAATCCGCGCGGACCTCCGAATTTTGATGTTTATGCCACTGTTTGTTCCCCTGCAGTGGGCATACGGAAAAGCGGTTCCTGGGGAAAACGGGCCCTGCGACTGCCTCGCTGCTCAAGGGCCCCGTGGGGGGGCCCTGCTCGGGCCCAGGGAGCGTCACGGAAGCGGCGCGGCACGACGAAGCGGTCCTGGTGCACCTCCCCCAAGAACTGGAACCCGCCTCTGCCTGGACACCTTGGAGGGGCAACGATAGGGGAGGATATAGGGATAGGGGGGAACATCGACGCGAAGTCGGCGATGCATCGCCGACAGATCGGCGATGGGCCTCCGAGAATAACTCCGCCCCTTCCTGGGCAGGTTGGGGCTATCGGGCCCCCATCGGCGACCAATGGGCGATTGGGGGTCGATGCATCCCCCCCTATGCCCTATGCCTATCCCCCCCTATCGTTGCCCATGAACCTTGCCTTCATGCGACCGGACCGCAGGCATGCGCAGCATGGATGCCAAGGCCCCGGGACGCCCAAGCTCAGGCCGAGGGGGGGAGCCGGGGGCCCCCACGGGTCAAGGCCGAGGTGCGTGGGCCGAGTGGCAAGCATGTCCACGGGAGCCGTCGAACGCAAGAGGCGGGTGGAAGCGTGAGGCAGGAAGGCGTTGGACGCAGATTGGGGCTGCCGCCCGCCCCCTGAAAGGGGTAAGGAGAAGGCGAAACCACTCGATCATTCCCCAATCAGTGCTTGCACTGAAGGAGTCCTCGCGGAGATTAAAGGTTTTGGCGAACAATTCCCGCCGATTCTGGTGGCAGGCTGGGTTCCCGGGCTCCCGGCTCCGGGTTCACGGGTAGTGGTTCCGGGGCGATGTCGGTGGGTTCTGGATTCCCGGGCTCCCGGGTTCCCGGTCGATCTCCTCAGCGAAAACCATCCACTGATTGGGGTTTTTCTCTGGTGTAATGAAAATAGGAAGGCGCCCAGAGTAGGTTGGGATATGGATACCCAAGAATACAAACTTTCTCAAAAGCGCGTACCCTTTGCAAGTTCTGCATCCTTATGATGCGGTGTCACTGCGATCGTGCGACCATAGCCCCTGCACGCTCTTCTCGCGCTTGAGTTCTGTCTTCCTTGAAGCCCACCGTATCGATGGCGGGGGCGAGGGTTCGTGCACTAAGTCCATCCAAAACAAAGGCAAGCGTCCCCTCCATCCTGATTCCATATTGATCTGTGCTCCTTCTGTGCCGCGTAGCTGGCCGATAGGGATGAAAGCCAAGAACTGCAACCCTACCTGTCGAAGACAGACACGGCAACCGCCGTCTCTGCTCCCGATATTGTCTTTTGGCGTCGACGTTGCAAACAAATATAAGTATCGTTTAACCGATCCCCATCTCCAGCGGCGTGGCCTGGGCCCCGCTGGCCGCTTTGCCCCCCTAGATGGGGATATAGGTCGCTCTCTTTGGGTTTCGAGGGGCGTATCCCCAACTGGGGTGGTAATTTGGTGGGGGTCTCGAAGGGGATGGAGATGGGGATGGGGATCGGTAAAACGATACCGAAAATAACGATGATGGGACGCGGCGCGCATCGTGCGTCAAAGAGCGAGCTGTCGCTGTCGCCTCGGCACCGCGCTCCCCTGTTCCCGAGCCTTGCGCCCCCGCCTCGGCGCGGCGCACCTGTTGCACGCGCCAGGCTCATCGACGCGGCGCTGCGCACGAACGTGCTCGCACGAGCACGGCAGCGGCAGCAGCACCGCGCGCGAGGGGGCGAAACGCTGCCCTCGCACGGGCGCCACGCGGCCTCTGCGTCTGCGAAGGAGCCGGTGCTGGCTCGGCGCGGCGCGTGCGCCGCCCTCGCCGAGCTCTCATCGGAAGCGCTGCCGCCCCCGCCGCTGCGCGGCCCGCGTGGCCTCTCCCTCGTCGGAGGCGGGTCCGCGCGCGAGCGCCTGCCGCTCGGCCGGGTGGGGGCGCGGTCGAGCTCCAGTGCAGCGTTGTGCCACGAGTGGCTATTCAGTTGTGAGGAGGAGGAGGAGGAGGAGGAGGAGGAGGAGGAGGAGGAGGAGGAGGAGGAGGGGGGATGGCGGGAAAGGGGCTCGGCCCACTGATTCGCTCGGCCTGGCTAATCGGACCCCTCCCTCCATGCGCTCAGGGCCCATCAAATTCCCTCCGCTCCACCCTTCTTTTCTTCTGCAAGCCACCCGTTCCTGCCTGCGGCCCCCGTCTCCCTGCCCCTCTCCCCCACTCGTCTCGTTACCCCTCCCGCGCCAGTCCCGTTGTCCTCTGCCCATCCAACCCGCACGTTCTCCCTTTATTACGACCGCCACCACCACTGAGCCGTGCATCCAGAAGGACGCGTGGGCAGAAGAGCGCGCGCTTGACAGCTCTTCGGAGGCATCACAGCAGAGAGCGAGAACGCGGAGCGCTCGGATGCGAGACAGGCAGCGGCGCACCTCACGACCGCGGCGAATGCATCAGTATCCACGCCCTCGCGGTCTATAGATTCGGGGGGCACGATCCCGCGGATACGCGGTCGCACACACACACACACACACACACTCACACACACACACACACACACACACACACACACACACACACACACACGCACGTTCCACGCGCGATATTTGCGAGCACATGTCTTGTATTTGTGGGATTGTGGTTTAGGGGCCTAGTTTGCGAGGCCGCGGATACGGATAGGTTGTTCGTTCATGATTTCAAGTCCTTCGCAATGGCGCACTACAATCACTAGTCTCAAACCACAAACGAACATTTCGGAATCGGGGCCCCAGTCGGCGATCACCGCGTCGGCCAGGATGCCCGAAACGAGAAGCTGGATCGGAATCGGATCGGAACATTTCGAGTCGGATCGAGGTCGAACCGGCTGAGCCAGCACGGGCTAAGCGGGCAAGCGATGACGAAGATCACGACGGCGAGCCCCCTCGGCGACGAGCACGAAGGTGAGTGTGGCGAGTACGCCGAGTGCGACGGCGAGTGCGACGGCGGACTGGGACGCCACCTCTTCCCGCTGGGACGCCACTCCCGCCTGGGACGCCACGCCCCCCCCCCCTGGCTGGGACGCCACCCCCTCCTCGCCTGGGACGCCCTCCCCCCCGACTGGGACACCCCCGCCCCCCTCGGGACGCCACCCCCTCCTCGCCTGGGACGCCCCCCCCCCCCGAGCGGGACGCCACCATCCCCGGCCTGGGACGCCCCCCGCCCCGCGGCGAGAAGGCCACCACCCCCTCCGCTGGGACGCCCAACCCCCCTGACTGTGACGTCCCCTCCCCCCCCGCCCCTCCCCCCTCCTCCCGGCGGCGACGACGACGACCCCGACGGCGGCGGGAGGGGCCTCGGAAGGCCGTTATCGGCCTGCGGCCTCGGAGCACAAGAACGAAACCAGGGCCGGGCGAGGGAAGGGGGCGAGAGCTCCGGGGCGTCGCTCGGCGCCAGACGCCGCAAGGCCCACCCTCGACGACGGCGGCGGCGATAGCGAGGGCGAGGGCGACGGCGGCGGCGCCAGAAGCGCCAGCGGCACCGACAGCACCAGCAACGCTGCCACCGCGGCGGGGTCGTCGTCGCCGCTGCCGCTACCGTCATCCTCCTCTTCCTCCGCCCTCCTTTTTCTCCTCCATTTCTGGACGAGGGCGATGACGACGAAGACGACGACGACGACGGCGGCGGCGGCGGCAACGGCGACGACGACGACGGACGACCGAAGGAACGGAAGGGAGGTAGGGGAAGGAGGGAGGAAGGGAGGTTTGGTCCTCGACAAGAAACCAGATCGGAATCTGGCAATTCGATTTGCCAGAGTCCGAACAAAAATCGGATCGGTCCCCCGCAGGCTGGAGAGGAATACGTCGGATCAGCACAACGAGCCCGAACGGTAGGATTGCAGATCCGATTTGAACGTGTTCGAACTGGAACGATCACATCGAAACGGGTCAGGCCTTTCTCGTTATCCTGCGCTTCTTCCTCCTATTAATCCTCCTGCTCATCCGTCACCTCCTCCTCCTCCTCTTCCTCCTCCTCCTCCTCCTTCTCCTCCATTCCTTTTCCTTATGAATCACTTCTCCCTGTCGTACCCCGAAGCCTTTTTGTAAGGCGGGCTAGGCGTTTCGCCTGAGACTTCCTCATCATTTATGGCTCTGAAGCTCAAACATTGGCAACAGTTTCACAGATGGAAGGCGGGTGGCTCTCAAAATGTTGCTCTCGCTTAGCGCGGAGCACATTCGTTAAAACAAACTGCAAGAGTTTCACGGATGGAGGGCGGTTCCTATTCAAAATGCGGCTCTCGCCTTAGCGCGGCGCACATCTGTTTTACAAATTTGCAAGAGTTCCACTGATTAAGAGCGGATCATGTTCAAAATGCGGCAATCGCCTTAGCGCGGCGTGCATTCGTTTTAACATATTGCGAGAGTTTTACGGATTGAGGGCGGTTCCTTTTCAATATGTGGCTCTCGCCTGAGCGCGGCGCACATTCGTTTTCAACAGTTGCAAGAGTTTCACAGATTCCCATCATCAAAGCACCAGAAATTGCGTTGTGGAAGGATTTGGGATTATGCGGGCACAACAGCTACGTTGATTCTCAGTGCTGAAGACCCTGGAATGGCGTTCTGGCATGCTTGAGGACCGT